CCGAAGAATCTTAATTCTTCCCCACAAAGAGGGGCGATCTGAATGGGACCTGAGGGTGGGTCTTTCACGGGGTGGGGCAGCTGGCTGATGCGGAAGAAGCCCTTTTCCACGTGTGCTGCAATGCAGCTCTCAGACTCCAGCTGGGGGTGAGGCTCGGGCAGCTGGCCTGCCGCCTCAGCGTCCTGACACCCACAGTGGGGGGTCACTCACTGGCCACGTAGTTCTCATCCAGCTGCTTGAAGGAGAAGCTGACGTTGTCCAGCTCCGACAGGGTCACCCAGATGTCCTCCAGCATGGTGCGCTCCTCCTTCTGCAAGAAGACACGTGAGGGACCTCGGGTGCCACCCACCCCAAGCTTTCCCTGGACAAGCTGGGTCCGAATCTAGGCCACGTGCTACACAGCGGGCTCCTCCCACCGGTCCTGCGTGTGCTCTGCCTACAGCTTGTCCTGCTCCCCCAGGACCAGAACCCATCTCGCTCTGACTTGCTGATGGCCCTTCCCTGGACCAACGGTCACTAACAACCATTCCAAAGCTAACCCACCACCTCCCTGCCCCTCCAGCAGGCCCACCCACCCGATTCTCTCTCCCCTCGCCCCACACACAGCCATGACCAAGCCCTGAGACTCACCATCGAAACACGCTCCAGAGCCCCCCAACTTCCCAGCCACCACTCCAGGGGGACCCCACAGTTCCCCCTTACCCTCCCCCAAACAACCCCCCTCTCCCCGTGCTGTTACCTTTGTCTAACTTGAACCCACATCCCGTCTCACACCTGCCTCCAACCCGCGAGCCTCCTGCCCAGAGCGGGGCCCAGCCCTGCAGACCCAGCCCACGCACCTCACCTCCCACCGCCTCCCTGCTCCTGGGGCCACAGCTGCTCCCTCTGCCCCACGCTGTTCCTGTCTACTGGCTCAAAGTCACTGCTTCAACACGGCCAGCTCTGACCACAGATTCCCAAGGAACGCCATGGCCTCCACTTCCCCGCCTCTCCCCCCAGCCTTCCATTTTGTCTTCTCATCTGCCTCCCAGCTGGAAGGTGAGCTGTGGACCCCAGCAGTCTGGTGCCTCGCAACATCAGAGACCAAATGGACAGGGACTAGCATCTGGCTCTAAGACATGAGGGCTGGTGTCCAGGCAGCCTTTCTGAGTCCAGTGAGAGCAGACTTCTGCCCAGCAGAGGGCGCTCCAAGGCCACACTTCCCACCAGCCAGCGGCTGGGCCTTGGCCACCAGAGCCACCCAGCACTACAGGTATTTGTCCTGGGACTGTTGTAGGACACTGAGGAGCATCTCTGGCCTCCACACACCAAGTGCCAGAGACACTACTCCTGGATATTTCAATTGCTATAACTAAAAATGTCTCCAGATGTTGCCAGTGTCCCCTGGGGCAAAACCGCCTAGCTTGAGCACCACGGTCTACGCCATGTCTTTTACCTATGTGTCTCCCTCCCACCAGGACGTAAGGCCCCAGTTCCTAACAGCAGTACATGGTAGGTGCTCAATAAACACCTGCTGTGTGAACAGCGGGGCCATGGGAGCCAACTGCAGGGGACACAGGCTGAGGGGCCTCCCGTCCTCCTCTGCCCACTCACCACTGCGGCTGGCGCCAGCAGGGACTGGCAGTGCAGCAGAACCCCGGTGGCGGCCACCTGCTCCAGCCACTTGCGGCTGGCGTCCCGGCTGCTCTCCTCGTACTCGCCGTTGTTGTTGTAGCGGTAGCTGAGGGCCGCCAGCAGCTGCTCTGAGAAGGTGCACACCGCGGCCACCAGGGCCTGGCAGAAGATGGCGTCCCTGCGCAGCTGCAGCTCAGTGTCTGTGATGGACAGACAGGCCTCTGGGCAGGTGCTGGCAGCAGGCTGCACCACCCCTGGCCCCGAGCCCCCCACAGACCCTGCATGGGGCGAACTGGCCAAAAGTTCACTTGGGGCCAAAAGCCAGGTCCACAGAACTCCCCCTTCGTGAGCAAGCCACTTCACCCAAAAGCTGCTGTCCCCCGACCAAGCAGGTGGGCCTGTGGGTTCCTGGCCACTATCCAGGCCCGTCCCTGGCCATCTCTCCGGGATGCAGTACTTCTCGGCCTGGTCGGCTGTGTGCCAGTGGTGCTTTTGAGAACCGGGTTCTCCTGCTGCCCTGCCCCTCCACCACCCCACCCCACCTGAGGCAAAGAGGCTGCAGGTCTCAGCTGCTGAGAGGAATCACCCTCAACATCTGGCCAGCTGCATGCAGCTGCCCATTTTGACCTGGATCCTCTCTTGACTACAAATTTCTGAAAAGAAGGGAGGGACAAAGGTGGACAAACGTGGCCCACCCCACCTGCAGCTCTGGCCTCCACCGTCTGCTGGGTCTGGAGCCTACTGACAAGCAGCCTCCCTCGCCCTCCGTCCTCTACCCTGTGTCCTCGTCAATAATCACCCAGGTAGCAGGTGGCCCAAGACAGGGCTCCCAGCTCCAGGGACGGAGACTTGTCCCTTGGACACAAGGTGCAAGTCTTAGAGGGGCAGGAGGCCAAAGTATCGCCTTCCCCAGTGCAGATCCTGATGGGCCAAGAAAAAGTCACCCTGGCCACAGAAGAGGCCTCCCCAGGCTGTCCTCATGGACGCCCACAGCCAGGCAGGCCTCGCCGGGTACCCCTGGGCCCATGCACTCACGGCTGCCCCTCAAAGCCCTCACCTGTGCACTTCAGCAAGGCCAGGAGCAGCTGGTTCTTCCCATCTGGAGGAGGAGGGAGAGGAGGAGGTGGCTAAGGGGGGCTGGCAGGTGACAGGAGAGCAGCCACTCCTCTTCCCCTTCCCTGAGTACACAGGGGAAGGGGCACAGAGGGGGGCCCCAGCAGGACCCTGCTGCATTCCAGACCCAGCCAAAGGCCACAGGCCCCCATGGCCCTCCCTGCCTGCAGACCTTCCACGTATCTCTGGATGTTGTCCACCAGGGTCTTGATGGAGCTGGGCAGGTTCCAGGGGTCCTCCTGGATGCTGATCTGGATCAAGCTCCGGCCACGGACCATACACTCTTCTTTCTGTTTGAACTCTGGGGCAGGAAAGCGGCATGAGGGCCGGGAAGGGGCCGAGGTGGCTTTGGAGAACAGTGGCACAAAAGCCCATGCCCTGTCACCAGATTCCAAAGCTTATAACCTAGATCCAGGGAGCAGCAGGCTCTGGGATGTAATCCAGGCCTTGGAGGACAAATACAGGGTAAGTGTGCTTCCACTTCACATGCCATTCCCATCGCAGACACCACTGATCCATCTCAGCACCCTTCCTGCTGGTCGGGGGCAGGATCCACAGCCACAGACAATCCAGTGGAGACAGCACCCATCAACCTCAGCAGGCTTTGCTCCCAGATCTGGACCCGGTGGCCACAGAAGCCTTCTTCTCAGGTTCAGGTCTTCATGCCACAACCAACCAAGCAGGCACATGAGTGGTGACCTCGTTCTAACCCTTCCCTAAACAGAGGAGGAAGCCCAGGCAGGTCACCTGCCTAAAGTCACACTGGCTAGTGGGAGACTGGGACCTGAACTGGCCCTAACAGGCCAAAGGCCAGGCAGACACAGGCCCCGGTTCCCTTGGCCTCTTCCCGGGTCTCTGAGGTCTTCGTGGCTTGGGGCCCTCTCTGCTGTTTCTTCTTGAGGTTCACCCCTGGACAGGGGACTGACACAGCGGGAGGGACAGCTGAGCAGACCCGATGCTCCCCTGGAGGCAGAGGCTGTCCACATTCCCGTCTCCTGCACACAGCTGGGAGCCCGCGAGGTCAGCAGTGTCCCCTCGGGCTCAGGGTCACCAGCACCCAGCACAAGGCCTGGCACAAGCTGGCTCTAGGGAACTATTTACCTGCTGCCTAGCTGCACAGATGGACTGGCAGCTGGGGACGGACAGATGGTGGGGGGGTTAGTGGGATGAAAGGCAGGAGGACATAAGAAATGCCAATTCTTTCCATCTCAGTCATTGCAGAGGAAAGTCTGGGTTTGGTGCTGGTGAGGCCTCAACTCTTCTCTCACTACACAGCCCTCTCCTGAAGAGCAGCAGAGGCCCCGGGCAGGGAGCAGTGCCCACCTGACCGCAGTGGGATGACACTGTGGCTTCCCATTAAGTTGATCACCGTGGCTTATCATTAATATATGGCCTACTACACTGGCTCTTCCTATGGGGGCATTTTAATAAGATCCTTTTAAAATTCAGTCTCCAAAAGGAAGATACCTTTTCAAAACCTATTTGTTCATTCACTCAGGTACTGGGGAATTGAACCACCAGCCTTTACCACCGAGCTACATCCCCAGTCCTTTTTTTTTCTTTGAGACAGGGTTTTGCTAAATTATCAAGGCTGATCTCAAGCTTGAGAGCCTCCTGCCTCAGCCTCCTGAGTCACTGGGATCACAGGCCTGCACCACCATACCCCGCAGGAGATGGCAAAACAAAAGTCACATCAATCATAAACTCCACAGCAAATTCACAAGGCTGGAAAGTGTGATGAGGGGAGCAGATCCCGTGGGTATGACAGACAGGAAGTGCACTCCAGGCTGTCCCTCGTGTCACAAATGGGCAGGCCCAGGGGACCCAGGGACCAACCCCAGGACACCAATTGTCCCTGTAGAGAGCCAGGTCAGGCTTTGCAGCTCCTACAGCTTCTACCACACAGACCTTGTTGTTTGGCTTTTACGAAACTTTAAAAATAAAATATAAGGATGACAGTGGAGACAGATTCTGGGCGAAAGCAGGCTGTGGGCTGTTGTGGCCCTCAGGCAGGAGTCTGCCGGCCTGGACCAGCCAGAGCCACGCAGCAGGGGTGTGCGCCACAGCGTCCAGCCTGCTCCCACCGGGCGCCCCTCACCTTGGAGACTGTGCTCCATGGGGAAGTGCCTGGTCTCCTCGAACGCCCTGCCCATCACCGGCCCCTTGAGCAGCGTGTTGATGGCGTCCACCTGGAGACAAGGAGCCCCCGGTGAGCGTGGCTGCCAGGGGGCTGCGAGGACCCAGGGCCACACCAGGCGGGGACAAGGCCGACCTGGTTGAAGAGGTGCTCCAGGCAGCCATGGAGCTTGTCCTGCTTGTCTGATGGGATGCGCATGTCACAGGGCAGCTCGTCCCCTGGCAGAAGACAGAGCGTGGCTGTCAGTCATTGCTGCCCCACCCCGCTCCTCCCCAACCTCTTCTCAAGGAGGCCACACGGCTATACAGCCCTAGACCCACAGGGGACACATGTAGCCTGCCAGACTCAGGCCCCAGCTGAGTCACTGGGCAAATCCCTGGACCTCTCTGAACTTCTGTTTCTTCATCTAAAAAATGGGCAAGAAGCACTAACACCCCCCAGATGGCAAGATGTTGTCATTCCCACTCCAAAAAAGAGGGCACTGAGGACAAAGACCTGGATCCCAGCCCCATGGAGTCACAGCCCCTGTTCCAGTGAAGTCAGCTCCACTGAACCCCTCTGGGGACATATTTCAATGGCCTGATCTTCTGTCATGAGACATGAGAGCCCAGCCACACAGTCCGCCTGCCTGGGCCTTCTTTTCTTCTGCCACAGGATGGGGGCAAGTTTTTATGCAGAGACGTCCTCTGGCAGGACACAGCAGTAACGGGGTGCAGGGGGCGGCCTGGGCAGCAGAAGGCCGTGGCTGAGGGTAGGAGGGATCCGCCACCTCGGCCTGTCTCTTGTCTTTCTAATAATGGCCCATGTGGACGTGTGGCCTATTTATGCACAAAGTGTACTTTCTAAGTCTGAGTGAATGAGACTAAAATTAAAACACAGCCACGTCAGGCTTCAGGAAGCGCTGCAGACACAGCATGACCTCATCTGATCATCCACCTGTCCGTCCAGCCGCCCGCCAGCCACCGCATGTCCCTCTGCATACGTATGCCCTTGCCGATGGCATCCAAGTACCATCGGTGGGCACACTTGGGAGCACGACAGGTTTGGATTCGAGTTCACTGGCTTCTCTAAACCTTCCTGTGCTATCTGGACTTTGGGTTGGTGCATGGTCATTCCTATGGACCCCCTTGGTTCCAGGGATCTGTGGGACCTCGGAGCACCCACCACCCACACATCCCATGCAACCATAGGCCATGGTGCATGACTGCACCGAGGCCTCTACCTGCTCTGTGTGGGGATCTTAGCTTTGCTAAGTTCCAGCACCTGGTGCGTGAGAGGTGCTTGACTAAGTACCTGCCAAACCAGCAGACAGAAGGAGGCTCCATGCGATTCAAAGCAACGAACTCCAAACAACGGAACAGAGCGGGAGGACACCCGCTAACCAACCTGCCAGAACCCTCCCCACTGGGCGGCCCACTCACCGGACCCCATCTCGTCGCTGCCCAGGTAGGAGCTGTTGCTTCTCACGCTGGTGTAGGACAGGACCGAGTCCCGGTTGCTGTTGCACTCGCTGCGTTGGGGCGAGACGGCCAAGTCACCCTCGCTCGCACCCCTGGCCCCGCACCCAGACCCGCTCCAGAGCACGGTCAAGCCCCAGCCCAGGGGACAACCAGCCCGGGGTCTTTCAGGTCCACCGGGGGGAGGCGCTTCACGGCCCAGCACAGAAACAGAGCGGAGAGTTGCTTCCACTCAGCTGTCACCACTGTCCAAGGTCCCCAGTGCTCCCGAGTGCCTGGCTCTTCTCAGGGACAACCCTGACTCTGGGCACAACCCACCACTCACCTGACCAAAAGGAACTCAAGGAATCAGGAGCAACTGCTGCAAAACTCCACCCTACGCTCTTTGACAATTCAACGAAAAACCAGAGGAACAGGGACTTCAGAAGGGAAACCCAGAGACGCGAGGGACCTCGGCCTCGGAGCTCCGAGGACCGGCACACAGGCAGCCAGAAGGGCCCGGTTACAGACAGGAAACTGGGCACAAGGACCAGGCAGGTCCCGTGGGGCCAAGAGGAGCATTCGCTGGCCGCATCCCTGCAGCCCTGGGCTTTGCCCACCAGAAGGGCCGGGCTGCCTGGGACTCCTTCCGGCTGCAGCTGAAGGTGACAAGGCCCTTCTCAGGCTCATCAGGCTGAGATGAGGAATTACCAGCAGCCGGCAGAGTTAGCACAGGGAACCGAGTTCTAATCTACTTCACCGCTAATTAAGGCCTCACTGATGTCGTTATAATTAATCTAACCAGTGGCAAGACAGCTCCCGGCCTCTCAGAAGAAAAAGAAACAGACTTACTCCTCAGATCAAGTAAAAATAAATAGCGTTTATTTTTGTAGTGCTGGGGACTGAACCCCAGGGTGCTCTGCCATTGAGGTGCACCCCCAGCTCTAACTACCTACCTCCCTACCTATCATCTACTTATTTTGAGACAGAGCCTCACTAAGTGGGCCAGGCTGGCCTTGAACTTGGGATCCTCCTGCCTCGGCCTCCCCAGCTCTGGCGTTACAGGCGTGCGTCCCTATGCCTGGCAGAAACCACAGGTCTTAAACCAAGTTTGAAGCCCACCATGTGGGCAGGTCAGCCCTCTCCTCTGCACTGGGACACGTACGGCTGAAAGGGGGCGTCTACCAGGCCAGATGGAAGCGCCCGCTGGGCGGGGAGCTGGGTGGGCTCTCTGGGATGCACCTTGGGTGGGTCTCAGGGCCAGACCACCGCATTCCACAAAACCTCCATGTCCCAACTTCCGTATGGTCAGAGGCTCACTGTCCCGCTGGCCGTCCCACCAAGCCCCGGGCTACCCATACCATGCCCACCTGTAGGAGTCACGGTAGCTCATGGTATCGTGGCCCGAGTCCTCCTGGTCTTCCTCGGACACCTTGAAGCACACTTTCTTGATGCCCCCATGGTCAGTCCTGTCCATCTCGCTCTCCTCGCTGACCAGTGAGGAGGAGGAGGCCTCCTCAGCCAGGGGCGGGTCACAGGCCCCGCCAGGGGTGGGCTCCGTGATGGTGGACAGCAGCCTGCAGGGCAAGGGCTCCAGGTAAAGGCCAGGCCCCAGCTTCACCAGCTGTGACCTTTGATCCTGCACAGGTAGCCGTCCAGGGTTTTGTGTCACCCCTTGGAAAGACAACCACAACTGCGCAGCCGCCCGCGGCCCTGCCGGGGTGAGAGCGCAGGTTCAGGCCTTCTGGCGGCTCCTGGCCTGGCTCTGCGCACGGGCTGGGGCTCTGCACATGGCCCACAGGGCATGGCTTCCAGACGGCAGGCCGCAGGGCCTCAGACACCCCTGGGCTCTGCCACCACGGACAAGAGCACCCGGGACAGATGGCAGGTAAACACGCGCACAAGGAAAAGTCATTCAAAAGGCAGTTCCTGCCCAGGCCGCAGCCCCTTCAAACCCTAGCGCCACCACCTCCTGTCTGAGAGGCCCGAGGCAAACTGCTCATGAGACTCGACCTGCGCAGCAGGATGGTGTCACAGGCGTCTCAAGGCTGGGAGGTGGGGACTGACTCGCCACATGTTAGGCACAGTGCTGGGCCTCACAGGCGACCCACAAGCCCGGGCTAGCCACCATCCCGCCTCTCAGGAGATCAGGGTCACAACTGGCCCGGCTCTGCAGGTGAGGAAACCGAGGGTCAGAGAGGCAGCCCGAGGTCGCACGGCCAACAGGCCAGGAGTAAGGCCCAGGCCTCGGGCTCCTGAGCCTGCAGCCGCGGCCTCCACAGACAAGTCCCCACCCATGAGGCAGAGAGCGCGACAGGACCTCAGGAGCCTGCAGCAGGGGCAGCAGCACGAGGGGGTCCACCTGTCGCTGCAGCCCCCCTCCCAGCCCTGAGGATTAAGAGCCTCGAGAGCAAGTCACCCTGTCCATCCCCGTTGTGACTCTAGCACAGGGCTCTTCAGCCTCCCATCTCCCCCAGGGGCAAGGTGCCTTGCAGGGGGTACTGGACGCCGTCTTGAGATGGTCTGGGTTGTCACCACAGGGGCAAGGGGTGCTAGGGCCTCTGGGGGATAGAGGTTGGTGACGGTGCCACCCACCCACAGTGCCCAGGGCGGCCCACAACACAGAATGGCCCACCCAAAATGCCAAGAGGCCCCAGGGAGACGCCGTGTCTTAAGGTGACCATGTGCCTCTCACTAGGCAGAACGGAATCAGCAGTTCCTTAGCCCCTAGTACCCGTCCCTGCTCAAGTGTTCCTGACACTCTCAAAATCGTCCCCTCCAGGCAGGTGACGTACTGCTTCATCTCCTTGAGGGCCACATCCAGGAGGGCCCAGCCCCATCCAGAGGCTGCTTCTGGTGGCTGGTCTCCAGGTCCCAATGGCTACGTCCTGTCTCCTCCCCCACGTGTTTGCTGAAGAAAGGGGTCACTGTCATGCAGAATGGCCCACCTCTGGCCTGCCCATCCCAGAGGTGCCATCAACCCTGCTCTGCCCCACCCTGCTGCCCCGCAGACACTCAGTGCCCACCCTTGGCACAGGGGGTGCTGCATGCGCCCTGCTGTGTCACAGCAAGGGGGACCTCAGGTCCAGCTGTCTATCTTCCTGGGATGTTAAAAGAAGAAAGATCCCAAGGCTTTCACCAAGTGCCTCGGCCTTCCTGAGGAGGCTGCAGCACTCACTGCTCTGCTGGAAGGGTACCATGGCCCCCAGGGGCATCTGGCAATGTCTGTAG